TTTCTTGGTGGAAAATTTTCAATAAATTTATTTTGATTAAAAAAAATATATGTACAGGGCAAGGGAGAGCAGAGTTTCAAACTGCATATTGTACATTGCTGGTGATATTCAGTGTGAAAGGCAACCGAAAAGGGAGTGCCATTTGACATATATACCATAGTCTTGCAAGATTGTATATGCCTAGGACAAAATATTACCAGAGTCTATAGGAAGTACTATCATGCACTCTCATTTTTGGAGACTTTCACGCTAACCTTTTTGGGGAGTTACACTTCATTATACACTTCTCAAAAAAATAAAGGGAAAACTTAAACAACACAATGTAACTCCAAGTCAAGCACACTTCTGTGAAATCAAACTGTCCACTTAGGAAGCAACACTGAGTGACAATCAATTTCGCATGCTGTTGTGCAAATGGGATAGACAACAGGTGGAAATTATAGGCAATTAGCAAGACACCTCCAATAAAGGAGTGGTTCTGCAGGTGGTGAACACAGACCAATTCTCAGTTCCTATGCTTCCTGGCTGATGTTTTGGTCACTTTTGAATGCTGGCAGTGTTTTCACTCTAGTGGTAGCATGAGTCGGAGTCTACAACCCACACAAGTGGCACAGGTAGTGCAGCTCATCCAGGATGGCACATCAATGTGAGCTGTGGCAAGAAGGTTTGCTGTGTCTGTCAGTGTAGTGTCCAGAGCATGGAGGCGCTACCAGGAGACAGGCCAGTACATCAGGAGACGTGGGGGAGGCCATAGGAGGGCAACAACCCAGCACCAGGAACACTACCTTGACCTTTGTGCAAGGAGGAACAGGAGGAGCACTGCCAGAGCCCTGCAAAATGACCTCCAGCAGGCCACAAATGTGCATGTGTCTGCTCAAACAGTCAGAAACAAACTCTATGAGGGCCCAACGTCCACAGGTGGGGGTTGTGCTTACAGCCCAACACTGTGCAGGACGTTTGGTATTTGCCAGAGAACACCAAGATTGGCAAATTCGCCACTGGCACCCTGTGCTCTTCACAGATGAAAGCAGGTTCACACTAAGCACATGTGACAGATGTGACAGTCTGGAGACGCCATGGAGAATGTTCTGCTGTGTGCAACATCCTCCAGCATGACCGGCTTGGCAGTGGGTCAGTAATGGTGTGGGGTGGCATTTCTTTGGGGGGCCGCACAGCCCTCCATGTGCTCGCTAGAGGTAACCTGATTGCCATTAGGTACTGAGATGAGATCCTCAGACCCCTTGTGAGACCATATGCTGGTGCAGTTTGCCCTGGGTTCTTCCTAATGCAAGACAATGCTTGACCTCATGTGGCTGGAGTGTGTCAGCAGTTCCTGCAAGACGAAGGCATTGATGCTATGGACTGGCCTGCCCGTTCCCCAGACCTGAATCCAATTGAGCACATCTGGGACATCATGTCTCGCTCCATCCACCAACATCACGTTGCACCACATACTGTCCAGGAGTTGGCAGATGCTTTAGTCCAGGTCTGGGAGGAGATCCCTCAGGAGACCATCTGCCACCTCATCAGGAGCATGCACAGGCATTGTAGGGAGGTCATACAGGCACGTGGAGGCCACACACACTACTGAGCCTCCTTTTGACTTGTTTTAAGGACATTACATCAAAGTTGGATCAGCCTGTAGTGTGTTTTTCCACTTTAATTTTGAGTGTGACTCCAAATCCAGAAAATTTTGATTTCCATTTTTTTATTTATGTGATTTTGTTGTCAGCACATTCAACTATGTAAAGAACAAAGTATTTCAGAAGAATATTTAATTAATTCAGATCTAGGATGTGTTATTTTTGTGTTCCCTTTATTTTTTTTGAGCAGTGTATTATAATATATTAAGTAACAGATTCTGCTATAATTTATAAATATATGTAGTGCTTATATATGGATAGCAATTCTGCCATAGATGTCAATGAGAGAACTGTTTAGTTAGTTACATAAGCTGAGAAGATGTGTCCATCAAGTTCAGCCTTGCTCACATCGGTGTTTGCTGTTGATGCACAAAAAAGCAAATAAGCCCAGTTTGACGCACTTTTCAGTTTTGCAACAAAATATTTTAAAGAGGACAGTTTTTAAGAAAAAAAATGCATTTATATTTGCAATATAAATAGACAATAGACCGTTGTCAAGGTATCCCACACAATTCTCACATTGAGAAAACAATGGGTACATAACAGTGATAAAAATATACTGTTTAAATGTCAATAAACAAAGCATAGTAAATCTCACATGCATAAAAAAAGATGTCCCCTAGTGTTTCTCATTAGTATAACATGACTCTTTCTAGTACCAATATTTGTTTTATCTTTCACCTTTTAAAAATAAACCTAATACTCTACATCTATAACATATAACGTTATTGGTAACACATTAGAAATTACCCCTATGGATCGATTCTATTTCAAGAGATAAACCTAATAAATTAAATTGCAGTGCTCCTATTGACTTTTGTTGTAAAATTGCTATTCAATTGTCAGATACAGTTTTATCTCTTAGAAAAGAATGTAGTCAATTATTTGATATGGAATTAAATTCTATAGTTCATTTCCAACCCACTAGAGGGAGATCTTGTTTTAAACAGTGAACTTATACAGTATCATTTATTCATATGGATTGCACTTCTTAAACAAACCTATATTTTCTACCATGGGTTGGATTCTCTTGCGAGAAGTAAACTTAATTGTTAGAATGAATAGCAGTTTTTTTCTTACATTTTTTTTTTCTTTCACCCTTGGGGCAGGAACAAGACATAGATGTCCAGCTCTTCCCAAGATTGATGGGAGTTATATTCCCAGATGTAGCAAAGTTTTGGAACTCAGTCTGAGTATCTTTGATTGTCTCCCTCCTTTTTCCTACAGAATATGCAGAGTAAGAGATCATCGCAGCCCATCCATGCATCAGTCAAAACTTGATGAAGGGTTAAACAAGTACATTTTATTGGTACACAAGCTGTGGTTCTAACTCTATCACTACATCTGACTCTAACCCTAATCAAGAATCTCTTAAGGCAGTAAAAGTGATCATGATCATTGCATGTTTTAGCTCTTAGTAAAAGCATGGGATTTCTATAATTGGCTATCAAAGCAATTATATTGCTAGGGAGCTACTTTTGTATATATAAGATGGTTTGACTAGTATCATATAGAAATAGTATTGTACATGCCAAACTGAGTATGGCCTGCCGCATCTAATATCTGGGACATGCCACTGCAACCATCCAATGTCATCAAACTGTAAATTTCTGTCCTTAAACAGAACAACCCAATGTCCTCAGATTGTAAATTTCAGATGCTGAGACATCTGATATCTGGGGCAGGCCATCATAGCAATCCAATGTCCTCAGACCGTAAATATCAGATGCTAAGAAAACTGATATCTGGGGCAGGCCATCATAGCAATTAAATGTCCTCAGACTGTAAATTTAAGATGCTAAGGCATCTGATATCTGGGGCAGGTCATCACAACAATCCAATGTCCTCAGAATGTAATTATGCTTAACACGTTCTGTCAGTGATGACTGGTATTTAGTGGGAGTTCAAGAGGCCCCTGTGTTGTCCTATGATATTGGATATTATTATTATTATTATTATTGTTATTATTATGTTATTATTTAGATAGTGCCAACAAATTCTGCAGCGCTTTACAGTGGGTGGGCGAACAAACATGTAATTGTAACCAGACAAGCTGGACACACAGGAACAGAGGGGTTGAGGGCCCTGCTCAATGAGCTTACATGCTAGAGGGAGTGGGGTAAAGTGACACAAAAGGTAAGGATAGTATTAGACAAATGACAGTTGCAAGAGAGGAATCAGTCGGGAGCTATTAACAGTTTAATTAAAACGCTTTTATGAAGTTTTAATGATTTTTTGAAGGAGTGGAGACTGGGTGAGCATCTAACGGAGGAGGGAAGTGAGTTACACAGGAACGGTGCAGCCCTCAAAGTCTTGAAGGTGAACATCAGAGGTCGGAGTACGGACAGAAGATAGACGTAAGTCTTTAACGGAGCGTAAGGGCCTAGAAGGGAAATACTTGTGTATTAGGGAGGATAGATAGGTGGGAGCAGCATTATGTAGAGATTTGAAAGCAAGAACCAGAATTTTAAATTGAGCCCTATTTCTTACAGGAAGCCAATGTAGGGACTGACAGAAGGGTGAGGCGTAGGCGGTGCGGACGGACAGGAAGATGAGGTGGAGGATGATGAGGTCCTAGACCCCACATGGAATCAAGGTCATGCGAGTGACATGTACAGTTTGGAGGAAGAGGCGCTGGTCGCACAGAGACACCAGCACAGCATAAGAGGGAGCAGGGTGCAAAAGCGGAGCGGCCATCCCGTAACGCTCGTCGGCATGTATTGGCTCGAGAATTGCCAGTTATCCAAGTGATACATGTAGCGATCAAAGGATCCATAATAGAATTGAGTGAACCCAAACTGCAAAGTTTGGGTTCGTACCAGATTTAACAATCCATTCGTAGTTTCACAGTCAGGTGGGCAGTCCGGTGACCAGGACACAGACACTGTCAGGGCGGCGGTCGGATGACCGGGACCCAGTATGCCTGATGTTGAAGTTAGCAGTCACAGTGTGGAATGGATTAGCAGGGTCTGGTATTGAGCACCCGCATTTGTGCGGCCACATACCAGGACCCTGATGCAGCTTCAGTAAAAAGAGTACTGGATCCCAGAAGCCATCACCAGACTGATCTGCAACTTGGAACAGAATGTGCCATTCACTGTAGTGGCTGTGCGTGCTTTTGGCATTCTCACCCTGCTGCTTCTCGCCTGTCTGCGCTGCAGCGTAACTTCGGCCTTCCCGCTCACCGCCTCATGAGACTGTGCGAGCAGCAGCAGGCGATAGTGGAGTTTCAGCTGCAGCATGCACGGGTCAGTGGCTCTGCACCATACTTATCTCCAATTGATCAAAGTTAAAGGATTTCAAGTGGACTCATTACAATTACTGGGCCTCTAAAGAGTCCTGTATTGTTATTTGTCTTCACTACCTTCCCGCGTCACGAGTGGGTAATTTGCGCGCCTGCTGCCTTCCTTGCATGTGGTTGCCGTTTCTCAGGGTCCTTGTACTGAATGGAACCCTGATTCCCCGTTAACCGTGGTCACCATGGTAGGCGCAGAAACTGGCATCGAAAGTTGATATGGATGACATCCGAATGCAAAGTCGCCGTCACGGGGATGTGCGATTGGCCCGAGGTTCTCTAGAGTCAACAAAGTGCCCGCGTAACTATAATGTCAACAGCTACTCTGCGGAACAGAGTTGTCTTTTTTTTCTTTCTATGTCCCAATATTTTGGGGGCTACCCCAATTAAAATATAAATATATATATACATACAGTGTTGGCTCCTCCTCCACTGCTGCTTCCACCTACACCGCCATGGTCACCGCCTCCTCAACCTATGGGTCACTTAGTATAAACTATGTACACAATAGCAGAGGCTTATGAAGGCCTTTTCTCCATGCATCAGGAGTTGAGCCCAGTTTGAACAATGAAAGAGAATACCCTGCACTCCAACCCTCTCTCAAATTGATAATTCTGGTGATCCAACTGACAGCCATGCTTTAGATTTTGATTTATGTTCTTCCAAAGCTAAAATCAAAGATTCCACCTAGTGCTATTTTATGGATCAGCTGTATTTTTAATTTTTGTTATTTTAAGTGATTTCCCTATCCACATTTGTTTGGAGGGCACTTGTCCTACTCTTACCCCCATTTTACTTCCTTTTGCAGCTCTCTAGCCCTTTCCAGGAGTTTTTCGGATTCAGGGTCAAGTTCGATCACGAACCCGGACTTTTTTTCAAAGTTCAGCCAAACCCGCCGGACCTGAACATCCAGGTGTCCACTCAACTCTAGTAATAAGTAATGAGCATTGTAAACATTTAAGTGTGATGTTTCATTTGGAATTTTTCAATATATCTGGTAATTTCAAACATTATTATGCAAGAGAATTATAACTTCAGTGCAATTCAATCATTCATGCATAATTCCAATTTTTGAGTGGGATGTGTAAGAAAATATTCACTGAGTTGCTAACATACTTCATAAAAGTGATACATACTCAGGTCAGCCTCCTCTCCTCCCGCGCTGCCGTCAGCCATGCTTTCCTATGGGAATTCCAGTGATGCATAGAGCAAGGACGTCCAGCGTTAGGTGAATATAAGTGCCACTTTAAATAGTGTCACTTTGAATTATAAACAAAACTCTTTAGCAGACACTTTAACAATCATACAAAATCTTAATATATTTTGCATATAGCTTTGTTTGTGTATCTTGTACATAGTGTAGCACTCTAAATTTTCTGCATGCTATTAAATATTTTGCTCAAATTCTCATGTGCTTTAAAAATAGTCTAACTGTATTGTTTTGTATCTTTATAATGATAAATCTCTTTGAGAGATGTACTGTCCTTTCCTATTATTTTCTAAGAAGTCTGAGAGCTGTTACCAAGCAATATAAGCTCATCCCCACAGCCACGGCAGATTTAATCATTTAAGTATTCTTATCAGCATCATATTAGAATCAAAATAAGCTTCTACACATTTTGGCTTTGAAGCATCCTGTAATATTTCTTGACAATGTTTACTATAACAAATAAAATCCAGAATAAACAATATATGGAAAAAAGGTAAAATATGATTATTTAAAAAATGATAAAGTAGCAAACCCAACCACTTCTTCATGTATTATAGATAGGTATGGCTAACAGATAATACTATACAAGAAGCCATAGCAACCCCTTCTTCAAGCATTATATTTTGCAATCCTCAGATATAAATAGGGCATGCTCTGTATATAGCGCTAAGGTCAGTAGGGTAATTAGGCAACGTATTATTTTAGGACTTGAGACATCTAGTCTTGTTCTAGTAGCAAATTTAAACTATAAGCACCCATATCACATGCATCATACATCTCATTCAATACATACATGGTACTCATGGCATCCAACCCTCGTATCAAAATAACCATATAAAACTCCATAATGCTGCTAAATTGTAATTTAAATGGATTCTGAAATACAAGGTAATTTTAAAACCCATAGAGAAGTAGAACAAGTTTTTCTTAATTTGTAATTGGATGGACATTTTAGATTTGAACCATTTATAATGCTTGCTTTACTTTCTTGCTGAGACAAAATTGGCCATAAATGAATTGTGAATGGATTACTGATCTATCTAAACTAAAACAGTAAAATAAAATGTTGTTGTTGCTTTAAGATGAATAGTTTGATATCTATATATGTTAAAATAAAAGGCATGCATACAATATTATGTGTTAAATAAAAAATACATGTTTGTAATAAATATGGATACTAGTAATAATGGCATCATAGAACAATATACAAATAAAAAAAAAAAATATATCAAATACAAAAATAATTGTGCAAAGTTTAAATGTCTTAAGTGCCAATCCAACAGCACACTTTATTTAGATCTGTATTCTGGCTCTATAAATTGGGTGTCTCATTGCATGGTTTGATGATGCTATCAATGGATCTCCTCAACCAGCCCAGTCAGTCTGCAACATCTCAGCTCTCATTTGTTCCATAATAGTCTTTCTCCATGATAATTTTATATGCAGTCAAATTTCAGAATGCAAATTAAGAAATAATTTGAATAATCAATTTGACTTAGTGTAAATATAAGAAAGGAAAAGATACCTGTATCACATATAGGTCGCCTTTGAGCTGATCCCCTAAGGTGTTCAAATTATGAATACTATAAAAACACTTCCTAGTTGTATTTTACTGAATAATATAGGTAGTTATATATATATATATATAAATATATATATATATATATATATATATATATATGTGTGTGTGTGTAAAATAACAGACAAAATTTGTATCTTGTAATACCTTTTTTTATTAGACTAACAGAAATTTTTAATGACAAGCTTTTGGGAGAACCTCCCTTTCTCAAGCCTGAAGCATTTCTGAGCAAGACGACACATAGAATTCAAAGTTGAGTTGTGTTTGCATTTTTAGGCGGCTGTATGCGGTATCTTCCATAGTGTTCAACTACATCTACATCACTAATACGGCTACTATATCTATCTATCTATCTATTTATCTATCCTCGGTATTTACTTTATATACAATATTGCTACATAGAAACAGAAAGGAGCACAGAGGAACATATAGCTTTAAATAAAAAATCCTTCTTTATTCTGAATAGAAGAAAAACAAGTTAAAAATCCTTTAGAAAAAATACATATTTAATGCTTCTAAAGGCCAGTTAAAAAAATGTAACAAATTAATGTCTAGCTAACAATGAGCATATGTCTATCATCTCAAAGTGGGTGAAAATCCAGAAATGTAATCCAACCCATTATGTTGTGCAATATTTTCAATCTAAGAGATCCCTTAAGATACTATGAAATAAGCTAGAAAATAAAACCGTCTTAGGAATCCTCCTGTGTAACGTGGTTGCTTACTGTACTGTGCAGTGTGCTCGTCTCTCTGCTTCAGCGTCTCTCCGGTTTGCGCGCGTAGATTGAAATTGGAGGATCGTGGTACGGGCACTCAGATAGTCCAAGGACATGATGCTGTCGGTGTTCACTGTGTTCTCACCCCTATATGTTTCATGAGCTCTGCGCCCACTTCCTCAGGGAGACACTCAAAATACTGCACAACATAACGGGTTGGATTACATTTCTGGATTTTCACCCACTTCGAGATAATAGACATATGCTCACCAGTGGTGTATCCTGGTTTTGTGCTGCCCTAGGCTAATACGTCCCTGATGGTCATTGTGAGCTAGACATTAATCCGTTTGTTAAATTTTTTTACCTAGCCTTCAGAAGCATTAAATATGTATTTTTTCTAAAGGATTTTTTACTTGTTTTTCTTCTATTCAGAATAAAGGATTTTTATTTAATGCTATACGTTCCTCTGGGCTCTTTTCTGTTTCTATGTAGTAATTTTATATGCAACATCAGGTCAGGATATCTTAATCTTCAAGAGAATTGTTAGTAGACCATCTCAGTCTTTTCTTGAAACAGACACAAAAGTGTAGATATCATCCATATTCAATGAACTGAGACTGTCTACTCATCTTGACATATGTGGATGAAGAAATGATACACAGTCTAGGAGATGACATTCATCCATATACAACATTCTCTTCATGTTTAGTAGTATCATTAATTTACTTTATTGATAAAATATTAACAAAGTAAGAGCCACAGTATTTTTAAATTTAATTTATTTTTTCATATGTTCGTTTGGGAGGATCTGTCAGATCATTATGGCATTATATTATACAGTAATTAAACTACAACTCTAATATATCTCAATAAATTGCAGCAGCTGGAAGGGGAGGGGAATGTAGTGCAGCCCCCCACTAAACAACATATTTAAGCAAAAAGGAAGGTTTGGCTGTGATGAGCAAGTGGTGGCTGAGGTTTTTTTATTGGAGACCTTTTGAATAATGTCTAAATAAAATTGAATTTTAATTACATTATTAATACATAGCCAAATTGACAGTAGTTAGAAACTGGATGTCGACTCTTGCTCCCTGTTGGTGGGTAGTTAAAGAATAATTTATTTTTCAAATTAAAATGGAGATGGGCATCTCTAAGTCCTTATGTATTCATTATAAAAACTAGTTAAAATCTATTAAGAATTTATAACGAGAAACTCTTTACCCAGGCACTGTTTTTGTTATTATTATTCATATTTTTTTTAATTTATTTATTTTTAAATCTTTTCCTCTGCTAATCTTGAGGTTCCCCTCTGGTTTCCTCCACCAGTCTCTCTCCCTGCAAGGAGCCTTGTCTTATTTTATTTTATGTTTGCCTTGGTTTTGTTTATTGTATCTATGTATATTGAGCTAATTAATAAAGATTAAAGGTGTAAAAATACCAATATATGTATAATGATTTGGGGTACAACAAATAAATTAACATAAGTGTGTATAGAAACAGATGAGAAGTTAAACGGAGTTAATGGGGATTTTGGTGGTCTGAATGTGCTGATGTCTAAATATATGTTATATTTTCTATTTTATCAGAGTAGTTTACTTACAGTATAATATAATGAGATATGATGTGACAGATCCTCCCAATCAGATATAGCCAAATAACTTTTTTTTTATAATAATAAAATAATAATAATAAAACAAATCAATGACTCTTATCGTATTAGTACTTTATCAAAATAGTAGATTAATGATGCCACTAATCATGAAGAGACAGTTGTATATAGATGAATGTCATCTTTAAGTGTGTACCATTTTTTTTATCCACATACGTCAAGATGTGTAGTCAGTCTCAGTTAATTGAATATGGAT